ATGTACATTTGCATGAATAGATAATCTAAATTACAAGTCATTATACAGTGAAATTTGCTTTTCAAAAAATTTGAATAATCAAACGAATACGCTTCTCGCATTATAGGTTTAGAAAAGTATCTATTTTATAATTACAATAATATTGATAATGAATTAAAATGACGACCTAAATCTTTGTCGATTGTCTTACATTAAAAATTTAAAAAAAATAATAATTTTAAATCAAATAATTTTATCTTCAGGGACTATGCATGTATTTTTTTAAACCAATATGTCAGAAAAACATCTTTATTCTCTGCGAAGTCGTTCGAAAGGAGGCCAAACTCGAAATCGCGTTTCCGTTCACGGATGTCGCTAACTTCTTCCTCAAATCGGCGCAGCTTAAGTTCGCGCCTTTTTTTATAAGCGGCGCGAGAGAACTGCAGTATCGCTGAGAGTTCTTTCTCTTTCTCTCGAGGTGTTCCGACGTTGTTCGCGAGCCGAGTTCGAACTCGGTTGACCGGTCGGACCAGCCGGATCGGCCTTGCTCGAACACCTCCGGAGTCTAAGTCTTCATCATCGTCCTCCTCATCCTCGTCGTTGTCGCACTTCTGGATGGCCATTTCTTTGTCATTCCAATCCCAGCGTAGAATCTAAAAGGGTGTTACCGGTATTCATCCCCCTCCCCCCCCCCCTCTCTCCCGAGAGATGCAAAAGCTTGAGAGATGTGTGCAAGTAATCCGATACTATCCTGTTCGACACTTGTTCGATACTGAATTTTAATTTGCGGTTCAGTCACGAGAAGAGATACGAAAGCGTGTGAAGTTCCGATCAATGATGCAACCTCCGCTGGGGTTAGTGCCAAGAAATAAATCAACTCGTAAAATCTCCGATTTTACTTTTTTACACTTTTCCGGACGGTTTCCGGTCGTCAAAAAAATATCACGATGTAGTGATAACGCACGCCTTCTTTTCGCCCAACCCGCGCGCGATCTCCTGATCGCGCGCACATCGTATCGTGGAGTCTCGCGGCTTTATTCGCGAGATATGGGGACTCCTAGCGAATCCGCATATCCAGAGTCCTCCAGATTCTTTCTTCCTCCTTGGACCGGTACCGGATAGATGACGAGGAGAAAGTGGGGATAAGAGACGAGAGAGATAGAAAGGGTATGGAAGGGAAGGGAAGACGGTAGAAAACGGCAGGATACTCAATTCCCTTCGCGCTCGTTCACTCGGCGCGGCGCGGCGCGGAGAACTGGGAGAGAGATGATGCTAGGGGCAACTCTCGCTTTGTCCAGGAACCGGTCGACGTGCCTACCAGGAGGCAAGCAGGCAGGCAGGCAGGCAGGCAGGCACGCATCGATCCGCCAATCGCGCCGGCGGTACCTTAAGCATGCTGCACAATGCCGACAATGACGAGAGAGAGAGAGAGAGAGAGAGAGCTTTTGGGGAAAGTATTGTATACGCGACCTCGGTTTTTCTATTTTTTTTTTCAATGTTAGCAGACGTACTTACCCTATACTTTTTTTTATATTTTTACGTGAAATATTTGCGTCACTTTATTTCTGTCACACTGCCAATTTTTTTTTAACAGCAGATTCTTTATTATCAATTTAGGATCGATCTGTTTTTTTTTTACGTGTAGATGTCTAGACACCAATAATGGTTGATATCGAATTCCGAAGAAATTGGCGCATCGAATATCTCTCTATCCTGGGAGAAATATCCCACGTCAATCCTTCTAATCCGATCACTAGAGTTCTGGAAATGTATCTGGCGCACAAAGTCGCCCTCGGCTATTGTTTCTCGTCTCTCGCATTCTCACCTTTATGATGGTACCGTGGATACCGCAGAAAAAGACGATCCTTTTCTTCCCCCCGTCGATAGTTAGGATGATTTTTCTGTTTTTAAAGTTAAAGAAGAAAATCGTGAGAAAGGATCGTGAGAATTGTGCAGAAAAGGAAAATTAGAGTTTATTTTTTTAGTCTAACTTTGACGCTTGACTAAACGTACTTTAATTCGGACTTGTTAAATACTCGTATTAATCAGAATAGGGAGAAAATATTCTTTTCCTTTTTCGTTTTAATAAGCGTTAAAAAGATTGTTCGGATGAGGCTTGGAAAAGAAAAAGTGAAGTCGAAAATTTACTCTGCACAGCATGATTTTCCTGGTGAGATCTCGCGTTGTTGTTTGCGTCGGCAGGCATGCACAGCCATCAATCATGGCCCTGAAACAGCAATAGAGACGTTACGACGTAGCGAAGAGATATCGTATTTCTGTAAACGCAAAGTTCAATTCGAAATGGAGCGCTCGTCGAGATAAATCGCTTTTTGCTGCACGGATTCCTTTTTACGTGGCAAAAGATACAAAATCTTTACGTCCCTTCAGATAAAGTTGCGCTGATAAGCAAAATATCTTAAAATTTGTTATGCTTGACAGATAACGTTTCGAAAAGCACGACATCTCTCGTTCTTTTAAATAAAATATCCCCAACGAATATTAGATGTATGGATATCTTTCGTACATGTGAAAGATGTACTGGTATTCATTTATTTAAATAAGAAATTTTATATGTCAAATTATAAAATTCTATCATAAGGTCCAATATTTGAGAGCTGAATAAGAATAACTTCTTTCCGTCGCTGGGCTTATTTCCAAAAATTTTGAAAGATGCTCTGTATTTTTTAACCACTTACATTTAGATGTATACTTATATATAGAGAATTCCCAGAGCGTGATGAAAATAATCTCGACTGCTGATAATTCGAAAGCTATCAGTGCTCCTATGTCGAAGCAGACAACTCTTCTTTTTTCGTACATCCATCATTATTGTACGGCTTTCCGTAGCTCCGGTGTATCCCGTGTATCCCTTCTGGACGCTTTAATTATCAAACGGTAATTATGCGTCACGAACACTATGGACTGTACACGTACAGTACCCTATTCCACTTCGCATCGCGAAATCGAAACGTCGAGCTTCTGATAATTCAAAGGGGCCGATGTGGCCGCGCTCTCCCGCGGTCTTTGATCGCGATCGATCGATCGGAGCCGAGGCTCGGTGGTTACGCGCAGCTATAGGAGCGCGGCGCAGCCGCTTTCAAATCAATAGATTCACCTTCAGACAATAGATAATTTGATTTCGTGGATATGAATGTGAAGGCACGAGGAGAATTTCGTCGTGTCGTATTTGCATGCGTTTACGATATCGAGACACTAATTGTAAGCCACGAAATTTATAACCGTCTCAAATCCCGGTTCCAGGTTCTCTTTCGAAGCCAGTTTGAGTTCTCTCGCAATCTCTCTCTCTCTCTCTCTCTCTCTCTCTTCTCTTCTCCTTCACTCCCTCCCCCCTCTCTTTCTCCCTCTCGACTTGCATACCGCGTCAGGTTCGCGGCAGGGCAGCCTCTACCTGCATTCCAATCTACCCGGTCGACCTCATTCCGCCATTATACTATTTCGTTCGGCCTCTCGGCTATCTCGCGTTCCCTCGAACAACGTCTCCCGCGCGTTCGTTCGCGCGGGAGCGAGTTTTCGGGGCCGAATTATGTCACACACCCGGGACGTCGCGCTCCCCCGTCCCTGACATTGCGCTCCCGATTCGAAGTTCGTTCCTTCGACATTTCCGCGGCGATCTCGGCCACGGCGAAACGGAATTCAGTTTCGCGCATCTGCGATCATTAATATTTACGAGAAGAATTATATAGGTCAAAATAATTTGTTTTATATAACGATATCGTCTCTTAAAAACCTTCTCGTCGCGATACGAATTAACGATACGAAGATGAGACCAGCGGTGAAACGTCAAATTTCGATTATCAGCTTTTGGTGCTGCAATTTTTTTTTTTTACTGACCTCGATATTAATTCTTTCGTTCATTGTTCGTTTCGTGCAAAGTCTCCCGGTAGCGATCGGCCATTCTGCGTGTAATGGATCCTCTTTCTCTCTGTCTCCCCTGACATTATGACATCGACAATCGTATTCATTATGGCCGATTCGATCACTGTCAGCGGCAGGCAAGTAGATACCATCGAGTGCCGCGTATATCGATATTCATTATCTATTACGTTATCCCGGGCGATCGGGCGCTCGGTCATTCGCCAAATGCATTCGTATACGCCATAAATCAACCCCGCTGCGAAAATATTAACTCTCTCGACCGCACACGTGACACGGATATTTCACGATGAAGCGATCGCACGCGTGTTACTTTACACCGCGTTACAGCGCGATTGCAGTTTTACCTCGGACGTTGATGGATCGGTATAACTCGGTGACGGATTATTCCGCTCGGTGTGGCTGTTGTTACGATAAAAATTCTTTCCTTTTCAGAAGACCGGCCGATCATTATTATTTTAGCCCGCGACAATTAAGCGGACAGTGAAATATTATTCAGGGCAGTAAGGAAATATATAAAATCATATCGGCATAAATGAAGGATATATCTGTACAGTATCTACGTGCAATGATAATAATAATAAGATAAATATTATCCATGATATTCATGATAAACATCGATAAAGTAATTATTAACCGCGAAGTAAAATAACAACAACCCGATTAAATTTGCTTTAATATATTAATTAATGTTCCAATTAATATTCTGAAAACATCGCAGACACACACAATTTGATATTTTATCTACAATATTAAAATTAATATCTACACAACGAACTGTAAGTGAATGTTTCACTTCTGCGGACACATTTAGGCCTTTGAAAAGTGAATTACAACCTCCGCCGAAGCTCAGAACCTAATGCGTTTACCGTTCGTGACGTTATCGAAAACGTTTGCACGCTCGGCGTGCCAGAAATAAAATTGATATAGGTTATTAAGGGGATTAAATGAAGTGGTTCGCGCATGCGAAATTAGTCGACCTGTTCCGCAGGGTGCGACGTAACGACGCAGACGGAAAGGAGAATCACCTGTTAATTGCCACTCGTTCGGTATACGCGCGACACGACTTAGCGATATAATACGAGCGATCATAATCGATAAATTCCTTAACGAGCCACCCAACGCAGATACGTGATCACCGAGCTGCTCCAGAGCGACCTGCACAAGATCATCGTGAGCCCGCAGCATCTCAGCCCGGACCACATCAAGGTCTTCCTTTATCAGATTCTACGAGGTGAGTTACAGGCAGCCTTATCACGTTTCTTTTTATTACGCGTGTAATGATACGAGCGGGAATTTTTTTAAAACGTGAAATACGAAAGGAGTGTAGAGGCATGTTACCTGATATGCTTTTAAAATTTGCAGTAGCGTATATTATATTAACGTAACAATATATGTATATTGTACACATATCTATTACGTTACATTATTTTCAATACAGGTTGATACATTTTTACTGTTAACGTTAAATTGAACGTATAATGAAGAATGTGCAATGCAGACGGATGGTGGGCCAGCTCGACTAAAACATAAACGCGCGTATCCTCGTCAGGAAACTGAAAAGAGCGGCAGGAGTAACGAAAGGATGAGAAAGTTCGAAGTTAGAGCTCCCAGGACGGCGAAGATGCCGGTCCAGTCTCTCTTGACGACCTCTCAGGAGTCATTGAGGTCGAGATTCCGAGATAGTCTGCCAGGTGGGAGAAGAGGGAGAGGGGGGGGGAAGAGGGGGAGGGGTGGCGGACAGGATGTGGCGGAGAATGGGGTTGGATACGAGGAACGAGATGAGAATGGCGAAGAAGGAGGAAAAGCGTCGGCGGTTATAAAAATCCACGAGCGGCATATTGCCTCCGTCGTCGTCGGGCGACGGTTAGGTGGGGGCGGGAGGAGGAGGGAGGAGAAGCGAGGATGGGGAGTCGGTAGGAGCGGCGAGGGCGGGAGAACTGGGATAAACAGGATCGTTTCTATTCATCCCTCGGGATCATCCCGGGATCTCGACGCTCCTATATCGTCCTTACATTGTCTGGCTTGCCGAATTACTCGTCCTCGTCCCCTCCTGTCCTTCCCCCCCCCTCCACCTCTCCGCCGCTCTGTCTCTTTCCCTAGGATTGAAAAATGTTCGTCCACCCTTTTCGTAGTTCTCGTTTATCTTTTTCTCTTGGTCGCTCCTGTCACTATTTTCCCCTTTTTGCAGGAGAAAAAAAAAGAAAAGCCCGCGAAGATACTCTTTCACGACTTAGTTTTCCCGTGCGCATCAGTATTGAAATTTGTTTGTTCAAAAATCACACGACAGATAAAAGTTCTCAAAGTTCCTATTTATTGCGGGAGCTTTTGTAGAAGTAATTATTAGTGGTATCATTAAAATTTGTCGCGACAACGTGATATGAAAGACATACGCGATAAGAGTGCAATATTAGAATTTTATTCTCCCTCCGCGGAGATATGTAAAAAAAAAAAACTTGAGATTCTCCCCCCGTTCCGTTAGGAATTGCATATTGCATCGTCGAGCGTAATTTTAATCAAAGAGGCACAGCACGCGTGATTACATTTCATGGATGCGGAATTTTATTAGAAGTCTGCCGTCCCTTTGTATTTCGTACACAAGCGCGATTTGGCTATCCAAAAACGCGGGATAAACATCTCTCTCGTTGTGCGAGAGGGAGAGAAAGGGAGAGGGAAAGAGAGCGGATCAAAGGGTCGGATTAAAAGCGTCTCGACACGACACGGCACAACACGGGAATGGAAAAAAGAAAGGTGCTCATCGTCTGAAAATGAAATTCCACGACGATAATAGACAAATTTGAAAGTCGCTATCTCAATGCTTAAAAATTGTTCGGTTTATAAGAATCGCTTTTTTTTCTCCGGATTTTTCATTCTCGTCGATATTATTTTTAAATAATTCAAATAATTAGATTTTAAATGTAGTATATTGTATTACGTTTGCCAATATTTAAAAAATTTATCGAGTGTTATTGATTTCGATTAATTGATATGGTTCTTGTTTTTTCCTCTACTGTATAAAAGAAAGATAACAAGATAACATAATTCAAGTGTTGTAACTACGCTTATTAATTTTCATATTTTCATTCTCAAGAGATATTATATCGGAATTCTCGTGGTAGGCAATTATTTGTAACGAACAGTCGCAGATTTTTCATTAAATATGGAAAGAATTACAGCAGTGAGAGAGAAGGGGGGAGGAGAAAGTCATCTTTTTGTACGATCGATTTTGTTTATATTGCGATCACTCGACGAATGCGGCACTCGACGAAATGAAAACTCCGGTAGCGAGAAAGAGAGAGTGAGAGAAAGAAAACGGGACGAATGTGGAAAGAGAGAATCGGAAGAGAAGAAAAACGAGGGTCGCGGGCCGCGGCGCGCTAAATTCGTTACTCACGCTTCTGCCTTTGCATACAACAGGCGCATCTGAGCGATATTAGAACACATCTTGCGATCTATCGCGCGCACGACGGATAAATCCTCGCTGCCGATTGAATCGCCCCTCTAAACTCCGAGGACCCGCGATGTTCACGTTGGGGATTTCGCATAACGTTGCACATATATCGTAACTTTAGTAGAGGAAGAAAAGTCTGCGCGTTTGCAAGTAGAAAATACATACATTCGTGTCTGCGGTCGCGAAGTGAAACAAATCGAAGTAATATCGAAAATAAATTGATTTAGAGTATAAACTCTAATTTAGAAAGGAATACATGAGATACACTGAGAAAAAAAATTTGTTGAAAAACGCAAAATTTGTTTCATTTTAAATATTTAGTCCGATACGTTTAACGCCAAAATATTTAGTCCGATACGTTTAACTGAACGTTACTACGATGACACAAAATATTTGTTATTATTATAAACAAAATACTATTTTTTAACTAAACTATTTTGTTTCAACAAAAGTTTATTGTATTTAACTCAACCGTTCTATTAAAAATAAACACTATTTATTCCCACCAGCATCGTTTACATTTTACAAGTTAGTTTGATACTTGGAATTTAAACAAATATATTACTTGGTAACTAAATAGCATCCAAACACAAATAAATACTACTAGTATTTCGAACAAAATAATTTAATTGAGTTGGTTTAGTTAATTCTTAATTAAAAAATTTTGATGGTTGACATGAATGAACTATACTTTTTGTTGTGCAATTAAAAAATTGTTAAATCAACCATCCGATCAAACAATACAACAATACAACTATATAAATTTAGTTCGTACAATCAATTTTTTTCTCAGTGTACGTCAATAAAAAGGATTTAAGAGAAATTTTTTGGTGCAGTGTCACACTGTGACGATCGAGTTGATCCTCTCGCGAACACATCCTTCTGCGGCCGAAAGAACGCATCCTTTGGCTTTTATTATTACCTAAAGATATAAAAGACAGGCGCAAAGGGGGTAGCCACATTAATTCATCATTCGTCGTGTCGCCATACTTTTGTTTCTCCTCTGGCCGCTTGTGTTTTCGAGGATAATTTGTCACGACAGGTTTTCGCCGCGTCTCATCCCCGCTTCCCTCCTTCCCTCCTTTGCCACGAAGGATGTGCAACCCGAATCGCGCGTTAGCCAGCGAAGGCGAAGGAGGAGAGCCAGCGTTCACCCTTCGCTTCCGCTCTCGGCCAAAAGGAGGTTTGTGGCGCAACTAGTGCAACGTGAATGCAACGCGAGAGAGCAACCGGATCATTATGCGCCAGCCGACTGATGCGCACCGTTGCGAATAGTAAATTTTCCTCGTTTTCTCATAATTAATAATCTTTCTTGTTTCATCACACGGCGACTTCTTCGTTTTATTTCTCTCTTTATTTTTGTCTTCCCCCTCCCCCCCCTCTCACTCTCCCGCCGCGATAAGAGTTACTTCTGAAATTACTGTTTTCGATACTCGTGAGCAAGCGCGAGGAGAAATGCTGTCTCGATGTAACGTAATATGTGATTAGAATAACTGTCGAGATAAAATTGCGTTATGAGCGATTTGGAATTTTATCTTGGAGATATAAAAGGGATTTTTTTTAATGTATAGATAACGAAAGAGTCGAGTAGTAAGAAAGCAAATGAAAAAAAGTATTAATTGTAATAATTGATATAATTATACGATTAAAGTAGAAAATCTGGTGCAGTTACAGATGCGATAAATATAATTTTATTTTGAGATATGAAGAAATATGAGATTTTTTAAAATAATGAAAGAGTCGAGCAGTAAGAAAGAAAATGATAAAAAAGTATTATTGTAATAATTCTTATAATTATGCAATTGAAGTAAAAAATCTGGTGCTTATATAGATATGATAAATGTAATTTTCTTAAATTAAATTTATCATTAGTCTAACAGGATTTTATGTTATTCTTAATATAAATATTGGTAATCTCGTTAAATTAAATTTAATTTCTACAGCACGACACTGATGATATTTCTCAGATAAATTTATCATTGAAAATCGCGGAATATCTAGATATTTTTTACGTTCGCTTTGAAACTTGAATTCAAACGTATTTCGCGCAGCGAAAAATCAGGACCCAGATTAACTAAAAATAATAATACATTCGCTATTCACTCATTTTGCTCGTTTGCTATTTATTTCAGCGAATTGCTGAACGGTGATTTTTTTTTTGAGAAACACATTTCTAAAGATCTCGTCACAATCGTGATTTTCTTTTTTTCTAAATTGCTATTGTGACCAAGAACGAAAATAGGTGTTCGTCAATCTCGGCCAGGACTGCTCTCTTGGCCGTGCTCTTGGGTCAACGTCCGTTCCGATCAGACCCTGAATTCGTTCGAGCTCCTGCGTGTTTCAACGGTTATACGCACGTCTCAAGGAGACGCCGCAAACCGGAAAGCGAGCGGCACGCTCGTATCCGGTAAGGTGGTCGTTCGGGTCGCGCACTCGCGAATCGTCGATCGCGATCGCGATCTCGAGCGTCATGTATTTAACATGAAATCTTCAGCACTTTGACTCGAAGCTTTGAAAGCAAGATGCAACGTGTGTGAGACAGGATACTTATTAATAACGATCCTTCGGTCGTGATTCAATTGACACAATGTGACAGTATTTTTTTTACACGTTTTACCCAAGTTTTTTTATTTTTTGCTCTGTTTTCTTTAATCTAAAAAAAATGCAAAGGGTCGATCGCTCGCGGTACAACAAACTGCTTATATCGACAATATTATAGAATTACGAAGAGGACGATGATCTTTGCGTCATGGATCCGATTCTCTCACGGACAGTTGACCACA